TTTTTGGTTTCGTAAAAAAGCCCAAATTTTACTATTATATTACCGAATCTCATTTCGATTGTGCTTTCAAGATACTGAAATACTTTCGAAAATATTCCTTGTTCCTCATTTTAGAGGCTTAATGTAAAAATTTAAAATAAATAAATAAATAAAAACTGGGTTGCTTTTTTTCCCCACAGTAACTGACACTTATTTGAGAAATTGGCACTTAATTGAGAAAAAAAACTGACTTTTGGTCCTTCCACCGGCAAAAGTCGGTCCCTGTGATCGATTACTGACGTGGATATCATTTTTTACTTTTTTCGTACACGTGATAGCCGACTAACATATCCAACTCAGCAGCCCATCAAACCGACCAGCTTTTTCCGGTGGAAGGACCAAAATTCAGGTTTTTTTTGGTGTGTCGTTAGTTACAGGGCTAAATCTCCTCCACAAGAATAATAAATTATGTTGTGAGAGGGAACTTACTGCCACGGGTCGTCACCAACCACCATCATGTCATTATCACTGTCGGTATACAACACGCGCCATCCCCTCTCTGGGTCCCGTAAAAGCCCGTCCATGCCGAACAACTTCTCGAGATAAATCAACAAATCATCGTAACCTTGAAGCCTAGAGAGGTCAACCGATCTCCCCACTCGGCTGCCTTGTTTGTGAACCTACCGCGTATATAATTCAGTCAACTCTGGATAAACTCCAAAGACAATATCAAAACAAATGCTTGATTTCCCAAAAAGAATGCATTTATTTTTTCTGGGATTATTACCTTTGTGCAGCTCCTCTTACTTGAAGAAGAACCCTTCACACTAACATCAGCTTCATTATTATCTTCAGTTAATGTGATCCCAAATAGTTTAAATGTCGGCACTTTCTCCTTATCATGTGCCCTCGGCTCAGGGACATTAGCTTCGACACCACGTAAAACAGAATTCGGTTTCACCACACCATGCAAATTCGAAAAATGTTGTCCTGTTCCATAAATGCCCTTATGGGGAACGGGTACTTTTCTAGAACCTTCTGAAGCTAGAGGATAGAAGCACGGATTGTGGGCCATTTCTGGCCGGGGGCCCGAGTTAATTTTCCCTGCGAGGGATTTAAGCGAGCAAATTTCTTGACCTTGCAAGACCTTTGGAATCCGATTGGATACCGGAAAGTCAGCGAAAGTTGGAGAGGTGACGTGGCTGAGGATTTCAGTCCCGTTTGGTGACAGATTAAACGACGCCAGCTGGCGATTCGTCATCCGGTTGTTGCCTCCGTACAGATTTGATACGGAGAATAATACTTTTTCTTGACCTTGCAAGACCTTTGATGATCTCCAAGACTCTTGGAACTCCAAAAGTGCAATCACCTCACCTTCTCATTATTTAAAAAAAAAAAAAA